TGATATTGATTTTGAAGTTCAATTTTGCCTTTTTCCACTTATCCACACAACATACTCAGTTATCACGAGCACTTTATTCCAAAACAAGATCCTATCCTACTTTCATCAAAAAACAGATATGGTTCTCTATTCTGTACACTTCTTCATGATGAGATGTAAAATTCTTTCATCACTGAAAAAAAAACGTTTTTTTTTTCAATTTTAAATCTTCTTTTCACTCCTCACCCTTCGTCCTCTTGATTTTAAACTCTTCAAACTCGTGTTTGGCTTATTGCCGGAATCCAACAGTTGCAACTCGAAGTCTACCTCTTCCGCATCGCTACCGTTTAGCTTCTTATCAAGCCCATTCTTTTTCTTTCCATCATTATCTTTAGTCGATTCCCAATCACTAACAACATCATCCATTGTTGGATAAGCCTTAACAACTTTCAAAGTCCAACGCAACCCAGTTGGAGGTTTGTTTAAGTTTCTTCTCAAGTCACCAGGGTTATAACTGCATTGATAACGTACCGACTCTTGATGCTTAGCGCCTAATGCAATCATCATTTCTTTTCTATTTAATTCTTGTTCTTTTGGTTTTAGGTTCTGCAACAGGGCCAGTTATTCTCATAAAAATGTTGACTCTACCTAAAGATTAGGTACCTCTTTTTTCTCATCATCCCAATCGCTCGGGACATCATTAAGAGTAGGATAGGCCTCAAATAATGGTACTAATCCTTGTTTCAAATCTGTTTGTAAAACCCAAAAGTTTCCATTATTACTTATGAAGTATGATTTGGCAAAGTACCTCCCCATTGTTTACAACTTTTCAAAAAAAATCACATGAACCGTTACGAGTATTGAACGATTCCTGGACCTTAACTTTAAGACACATATCTCAGCTCATGGCTTTCAATCGATTCGATCACCATAAGAATAAGCAAATTTTCGCCAATAAAAGCTTTGCTTGGGTCGTTAGCTTGTAATCCAAAGGCAAAGAAGTCGTTGGACTCTAACTTGTCATGGACTTTTTCAAGTCATTTCTTCTGATAAA